GTATATATATATATATATATATATATATATATATATATATACACACACCATACATACATACAGGGACAAAGTTGGATTCATTTTTTTCTTTCCCATGGGATTGAATGATGCTGTGAAGTTGAGCTGAGGCAGCTAACGTTGCCCTCCACTGATGGGGTGAGGGAGGAAGGGTGAGTATCTGGAGTAAGTTAGTATTTATTCCAAACTTTTTCTTCAAAAATGAATGCCAAATTTGGGAGAAATAAAACAGCTATCAGCCACCAGCTCATAAGCATAAAAACAGACAATCCCACAAGAGCAAGCCATTCCAACTGACTTGACTCTTATCAAGGAGTATTTGGGGCATTTTGCTGCCTCCAGAGGCAATGAATAATTGTATATGTTGTCTTTCTGGAGGTTACCATCTAAAAATCAAATAGAACTCTATTCTGGCATGTGAAAATGACAGTTTAGAAGGCAGTCAATTCAGACAAAGAGAGACAATATGAAAGAACGTGTGTGCACCCGTGTATGTGTTTATTCGGGTGTATCTATGTGGGCAGTCATGCATGCAAATACACAGCAGCAGGTATAAATACACAGCACGTGGCTCTACAAGCACCCTGCTGCCAGTCGCCACAACACTCACCAATGAGAGCTCACAACATCATTGAAACCCCTGCACAAAGATACCTGGACACACACGCATGCATTATTTTCTACCAATTAGAAATGCTCATTTTAAAACATTAACTTATATAAAATCCTCATTCCGTCCAGAATTAGGGAATTTTATTATCCAGGAACTAGAGGAATCTCAAATATAAATCTCGGATTTTTAATGAAAAATAGAGTAAGTTATTCATGTTCAATTGAGAGACAGATACCAGATGTTAAGCCACTCAGAAGCCAGTAAACAGTTTGTTTTTCTAAATAACACATATTCAAGAGCTTAAGAAAAGAACCACTCAGGTTCAAAACTGTTTTATTTCTACATAAATTCAAGCAACTTTATAGGGAAACAAAAAAATAAGCCTGTGAACAAACATTTACCCTGTTTACACTGTTCCGGATTCTCTTCTGAGCAGATAAAGACACGGCCTTACAGCACTCGGACCAACCGAGGCTTGAAAACTGTCAGGAGCCTGCCCCGTCCTCCCCATTTCCGGTTGTGGGGGAGTAACAACGAGGAAGAAGCTCATGAAGAACTTCGGGTGGCTCTGGGCCACCAGGGGAAAATCCCTGTGTACACACTCTCTGGGTGTACACACACTTTCTTCCTCGCACACCTTCTCTCCCCAGAGGACAACACAGGCAGCGTGACCGCTGAGAGCTACACCGCAGGCCTGTGTCACTCACCACACCCCTCTCAGGCTTATGTTTCAGTTGATTATACATTTTCACTGTGACAAAGAGTGAGAAAAACTTCTTTGTACAAAGCCTATTTTGTCCTCTGTTTGTTCTGAGGGAGAAAATATTTTCTTGGGATGACAGAGTCCTAAAATTGACCAGCCACGGGTAAGAGAAGCTATGAATAATTTTATAGCTTTGGTTGCACTCAGCTAGTCTGCTTTCTGGAAAGATTAAATCAATTTAGAGCAACAACAAAATATCTTTGTACCAGTTATGCCAGAGACCTGAAAATAGTGTGATTTTTTTGATCCTTCATTTAATCTTTGTATGTACTTTTAAGAATACAAAGAAAATGAAAATAATCAATTTCATTTAACCAAAATATTGAACTGAGAGAAAGCTAAAGTGTTTTTTGCCTTATTCTGAATTATTTTCTTAATATCTCTGATGGTATTAAAGTTACCTTTTTTTTTAACATGAGACACACAGACTGGCTTCTGAGCTCGCCTGTCTGGGACAGCAAGTATCAAAAGTCATGGGAGAGAACTGGGGGGTCAGAAGTTAGGCAGAGCTGTAGCCCTTCACCCCAAAGAGCCACGAGTTCCAGGGAAGCCAGAAAGGTGAATGGTGATAACCGCAGCCACAGCCAAGCCGGCCCACAATTCCTCGATCCTCTGAAGTTATTAGCTGAAAATGCAGGGCACCAGTTAGACTTATATGTGTGTTTATTCCAAGCCTAAAGTTTCAGAATCCCTTTATAGTCTGGTGGCATGTCAACTGTGTGCCGTTAGGGAGTAAAATCATAGGCTGGCAGCCAGGAAAAGACGTCTAGACTGCCCGACGCACCCCGCAACCCAGCCCTTCCCCACTTAGGCATGCGTGCCCTGGGTGGAAGCTGCCCCCACCGACATGCCCGATATCCCTGCCCCAGGGCCCACACACTAGTTCTGAGGCTCCTCCTGTGTCCTAACTGGCCTCTCTGGGGCTCACCCACACCAGCATCTGACCGCAGAGCACCAGAACAGCACCCTTGGCATTTTCCAAGCTACGAGAACTATCCTGGGACTGAAACAGCATCTACTGGCTGACAGTCAGCCCAAGGGATCAAGGACCCAGTACTCCTCATGATCCCAGTGCCTGGGGACTGGCCTGGACATTTGGGCTCACAGGCCTCCATGACACATTCATGGCTCTCTCTGGCCCCCGGGTTCCTGGCAAACACAAATCAGACTGCTGATGTGAGGCTCCTCCCAAGGTACTGCCGCTAGTCACCTCACTCACATTCTCAAGAAAAATAATCAGAACTATCCCGACGTTTTGCACCTCCTCGCAGCCAGGGACTAACGCACTTGCGAGCATTATCACATTCAGTCCTAATAACTTCATGTAGCAGGTATCAGCATCTCTGTTTTACAGATGAGGAAAGGAAGTCATTCCTACCAAGTCACAGAGCTCCCAAGTGACAGAGCTGCGAGTCAAAGCCAAGATCACCTGATGCCAAAGCTCTCTTCCACACCCAGTGAGCAATACCACCTGTACACTTTCAATATAAAATAAGGAAAAAATGAATCTAAGACATTCATTGAACCATGAAGAAAGTACTTTTCTATCC